TATTGATACTGAATTTCGTCCATCTCGTCTAGTCTCGGTTTTCTTTGTGGTGGAATACAATGATCAATCGAGTCCCACTTCTTCGTCGAAGCAATTATATGCACGCATGTATAGTTCGCTTTCATTATGTATTCCCTTTGGATATACTAGCGTAATAGAATGAAATTACGTGCCACCCTATTATAGACAGTATATACAATTCTCTCAAAGGATGAACAAGGGATGGATGCATAGTATAGGATTTGTGAAAGTGAAAAACAAAAGATTATTCTATGACTGCAAAGATCAATAGATCGCGAGTGGTATTTGTCTAGAATTACAAGAGTATAATAAACATATAAAAGTTATTTAAAAATCAATCCAAACACGTGTATTGGAAAATTAATTTTATCCTGAGAAGTAAAGTAAAATATTTATTAAATTGCAATAATCTTGAAATACTTAGTGATACTTGTATAAGTATAAAAATTATTTAAAAAGGTGCCTTGCAAGTGCGTTGTAATTAATCATTTTCTAAAACAAAGTAAAATTTAAATAATCTTTGATTGTTTCATGTAGTATTTGTAAAAATATAAAAATTATTAAAAAACATTATAATGTAATTAGTTTCTATAGATGAAAAAAATAGAAGGAATCAAGGAAAGGAATAAAAGAAATATGATTTTAATTATGAAGTTACAAGAAACTAATTACAATTATAATGTTTATGGTAAGCGGTCTTTGGCTGGATTTTACTTGCAATGGAATGTATAGCATATTAAAATATGATATACATTATACTGAAAGTAAAATACCATTGCCCGGGTCTAACCACGAGGAGGTAACCGCTTCTTAAGACCCAAGAGAGATGTGCATCCTGAAGATGACCACATCCGATTATAATTGAAAGGAAAGAACCTGACTCTTAGACTCCGCTATAAGAGTACCACCATAAAAAATCCTTACAATTATTATCGAGAATACCAGAGAAAAATTTTAATACCCAAAAAAGAAAAAAAAAGATTATTTTGGAGGTCTGAAAAGATGCAATGGGAAGGGCAAAACGATTGCAAATCGAAGGGCAAGTTCTCGATGAAAAACCCGATGCACTTACAAGTGCATTAGAATTAATCATATTCTGAAACAAAATAATATGAAAATTATGTTCCTAATACCTACCAACAAAAAGATATATTAAAAAATATTATAAAATAATTAGTTTCTATAAATGAAATGAAAAATGAAAAGTGATGAACGTGTGGGGTAATAGGAAATTACAAAATGATATGATATTAAAGTGAGGGGGGAATTCTGAATGGAATTGTACTTTATAAAATCAAATTTTTCAAATACTCTATTTATTTTTGGCAATAAAAATCTCTGATAGAGAGAGAGAGTTGGTAATTTCAACAATGTTCACCTATAACAGAAAGAAAACTATATTAATTACTTCTATTCTTAAAAACCACTATAAATTATTGACGAGCAAAATAATAAAACAATAAAATATGAAATGACCAACGAGCTATTCGCAAAAATTCAACCATGTTGTTGAATTTGCAAATAATTCCTTGAGTATGTAGTTGCCCTCTTGAGTCACAATTAAGTGGGGGCCTCTTCGACAATTAGCCTCTTCTTTCTTGATGCCTATTGTCCGACATTCACACTTGTTACCAATGTTCTATAACATAGATGTGACATTTTATTAGAATAAAATTTCATATGTATGTTATATGAACAGTTGGCATTAGAAGTTCTGCGGTGACTCCAAAACACTCCTACTTCGTAGAAAATGGTCCCAGCTGCATCCCTCGTCCACCAGGTCCATCGGAGTATTCCTTGATGCACTTTTCCTTGCACTCACTCACTCACTCGTGTGACTCTAATAACGCAGTACACGAATAAAAGAAACTATATATGAGTTTCTTATCGCGAAACTCGGCTTGGAGCGAAGAAGACCTTCAATCTGCTAAAGCTGCGATCGAAGAAGGGATGTCTAAAAGAAAAGCCGCAAAACAATTTAACATACCATTTACTACTTTGAGAGATCGACTAAAAAATGAAAATATGAGTAATCCAAGACTAGGTCGTAAGCCTATTTTCACACCACAGCAAGAAAATGACATTGCTGAACAAGTTAAGTTGCTGGGTTCGCTATACTATGGACTCAGTGTCACAGATTTGCGTAAACACGTTTATAAATATGCTGTGCTCAACAATATCAAAAATAATTTTGATCGAAGCAGCAGAACAGCTGGATTGGATTGGGTACACGGTTTTATGAGACGCAACCCTTCAGTTTCTGTACGCAAAGCTGAAGTAACTAGCTTAAATAGGGTTTCTGCTTTCAACAAAAAGGAAATAACGCATTTCTACGACAAACTTGGTGAGTTAATAGAAAAACATAAGTTCCTTCCAAACAACATTTACAATGCAAACGAGACTGGTATCACCAAGGTGACAGACCCAGGAAAGGTGCTGGCCAAAAAAGACAAAAAAGAGTCGGATCTGTTACAAGTGGCGAACAAGGAAGCAATATAACCATTACCCCTTAGCCTGAGCGGCATTACCCAAAGTTAGGGGCAATGGCGCTCAAGCCTGTTTTTTTTATAATGATTTCCTAATTGGGATCTCTGGCAGGGGCGTGGCTTACCTTAGCGGCAAAAATATGAACTAGAGATTGGAGGATGCTGTGCATTACTTATAAAACCAAAATAGAGAATAACTTGTATAACATTATAATTTTTTTGTAATTAAATTAAATAAAATGAAACTTACATTGCAAGAAATTTAAAATTTACTTGCACAAAACCAAGCAATAAAAATGTTGTTGGTGGTGAAAGTGTTTTAAATGTTGGACATGTGATTAAGTGTGAGCAAGTACCAAATGGTGATTGTAATATTATAAGTATTTTAGCTTTTTGTTTACAATAATAACCAGAAAAAATAATTATTGAAAATGCTCACGTGAAGGTAAAAAATCATCTTTAATAAAATGGAGTGAACAGACTTTCATACTGGGAGTTATACTTTTTCCAATTTTTAGCGCTCGTACCCAAGCTATATGTCTATCAATTATTTCTTTATCACCAAATTTATTTATTCAATAAACAAATTGTTTTTTACGAGGTGGAATTTGAAAAAACCTAATTTTTTCATCACGACAAGCTATGCTTGTACAACTAAATACACAGCAGTACACTTTACTTTTATTTTTTCTTGCTGGGAACTCCATAACAAACAAAAAATTCTTTGCAACAACTTTTTAGTTTAACGATACTAGTTATTTTCAATTCTACTTTCAATAATAAATAAGCAAGTCATAAAATTAAAAATATAAATATTTCCACGTAAATATCGTGTAGTTTAAATCAGCTGACAGCAATTCGTCCTAACTACTCTAGTTTTGAATTTAGCCACTAGATAGCGTATTCAAGTGCTAGAGTCAAAGATAAATACATTTGGTGTTAAAATGTTGATTACTGACTAGTTAAAGAACTTGTTATTTTTTTAAATTTTGAAGTACCATTAATATTTTGAAAAATACAGCGTATTTTCCTTAAGTGAACGCCATCCCCCCTCCCTACCCTACTAAGTAATACTAGTATACGCGTTTCGCGTTTCGCGTGAAGCGATTCATGTTAGGCGTTTCATGTTAAGCGTTTCACGTTAAGCGTTTTGTGTTTCACGTTAAGCGTACTCGAGCCTCGTAAACGAGCCTCGTGAAAGAGCCTGGTAAACGAGCCTCGTGAAAGAGCCTGGTAAACGAGCCTCGTGAAAGAGCCTGGTAAACGAGCCTCGTGAACGAAGAGCCTGAAGTTCGTAGGGTATTTCCGAAAAGTATGTAGGGTATTTCCGAAAAGTTCGTAGGGTATCTCCGAAAAGTTCGTTGGGTATTTCTGAAAAGTTTATAGGTCCGTTATAACGAGACATGATCAAGTGCACGCGTACTTTGCGAAAATTCAAAGTCAATTTTCTCGAAAACAAAGCCTCAAACGAAAACTATTTTTCTATATTTTCAATTTATTTTTTCATGTAGAATCATACCCGTTTCGCTTGTACCACCAGTTACAGATCACCCTGTATAATGATGAGAAATTATATATCTGTGTGGACCTGCCATATTTTTGCCAATTTTTAAAATGTTTGTCAAATCTGTATATGTAAGATTCTAATGATTAAAAATAAAATAAATTAAAAACGCGCGTGTATAAATATATAGACGTGTATAATATGTAGAAGTGTTTATCATTACGAATATTTTTTAAAACATAACAATATCTCGACTTGCTAACAATAAAATTTAAAGAAATCAATTGATATTTATGAGGATAAAATACATTATGAGGATTGTTATTTACTTGAAAATACGATGACAAAAATAATGCCTTATCAACTGGATACAGTTCAAAAATCCAAAATGGTTAGATGATTCGAATTAGACAATTGCTTCGCGCTAGTATGCGCAGAACAGTTGTGCACAGTTTTGTTTTCATCCAATCAGCGAGCATATAACTGTAAATGTTTTCGCGCTAAATTTAAAAAGGAATACAATATTCAATAGTTCTATAACAAATATGATTTTAAATATTATTAAGATTTATCAAAGACTTTAAATATGTTTATTAATAAAATGTTTAATTATAATGAAAATATCTATTTCAGATTTACAACTATAATTAATAGAAACTTGATCGAAATTATTATAAGATGCCGTTCTCTATGAGATGTGCTTGTAGGTACATCGTGAAAACAATGAAAAGTTGTTATTTTTATTTTTTTAAGAACATCTGGAAAACAATGAAAAGTGGTTATTTTTATTTCTTTGTTTCTTGATATACTTATAAATAATTCCTATCGGGAATAAATTATGTTATTAATTTCGTAAAAGGTATGTAAATCTTTATTGTAAAATTATAAGATCTATATAACGTAACAATTAGTAATTTAACATCTTAATAATCTAAAGCTAAAAATTTAACCTCGTTTATTTATTAACCCTTTTAATAATACATATTTACTATTTTCATTTAAAAATGAAAATTAGATGTTTTATTCGCATGAACTGCTTTCTCTGCGACAAAAAGGAAAACTTGCACGATGTTGGTTAGCTGCAACAGTCAACGATAGAATATTCAAGCAAATGTGTAAATCATCATCCGTGAATAGAATTAATCTCTGTGAACTATGGTAAATATCAAATATATTATTAATATTATTTTTTTTATTTGAAGAATAATTAATAATATCTGTATTAATTTTTTTCCAGCATGGAAATAATGAATACTGTTCAAATAGAAAGTAATGAAACTAGTAGACGATTTAGTTTATACTTGTCATCCCAACTTATGTATGGAGCAGCAAAACTTCTTTTATATCAGACCACCAGTTTACAAAGTAAGTTATTATATATATTTTATTAAATTATTTAAACAAATCAATCTTATATACTGTGAAAACAATTATCAATTAATTATTTCTTGTTTGTCTTAGCTCAAGTTTTTCAAATAAATACAAAAGTATTGTACCACAAAAAAAGTAAAATGTAATATTTTAATTCTTCAATACTTATTACAATATAAACACAAATTCATAAAAGAAAATTTTAATTTACAGAGATGAAAGAACTACTGTTGTAAAAGATTTAAATTTGTATAACATAACTTCTGTAATCCAAGATCTTAATGATGTTCAATTAGATAATGCTTCATCTGTTGCTCGTGATGAATTTAACATAAACACTAAAATAGAAGCGATGGTAAATATTAACTATATATTTGTTGTATTCATGTTGTATTATCATGTTGTATTCATATTTGTTGCGTTCGAATTATTATGTCAATTGGTATACTTGACTTATATATTCTTATATACTAAATGACTTGTAACTGATGGTACAAAGGAATGCATATAAGAAATATCGTACTGACAATATTTGAAAACATATTAAGAAACACAAAAATGCTTTTTGAAATTTTGATTGAACTGAAACTGAACCAACTGTCTGTACCACTAGTTACATGACACTGTAAATAACTCCTTTTATTTTATTTATTTTATCTATATATGCATGTATAATTATTTAGATGCATGATGCTACATGTTTGGATTTCGGTGCTTTAACTCATGAACAACTGAACTTTCTCCTTCCAAATGGCGAAGACATTTCATTGTTAGTGTCCTTATTTCCTTTTCCAATAATCCTTAATTTTCCTTTTAATATTAAATTTATCTATTAAATTGTGATGATATTATGAAACATTATCTTTTTATACTTTTATACTGAAATTATTATACTTTTGTTTTATTTTTTATTTAGAGAAATATTTGAGAGAATACATATCACTGATTCTAATCTGGACAGAGAATTAAGTGATACATCTACTGCAAATAAAATAACTTTGCCAAGTTTAGAAGAACCTGATGTATCGGGGCATGAATTAGAAACAGAAATTTCATTTTCTGATCGTGATGACATAATCATAGCAAGTAAGAAGAAAATTATGTTTAAAGGAAATAAGTCAAAATTACAATAGATGATAATTGTCCAACTTGATCTAATGCACTTATTTTTTAGATAAAGAACATCATGCAGCTTATATAAAAACAATGTTGCCAGAAATAACTATGCAAGAATTTATACCAAGGGAGAGTACATTTTTAACACCTCGAAAAAGACAGTCTACTGAAGAAACACATATAGAAACACCAATCAAAAGAAAATATGTATATATTTTACTAAACAAGTAGACTATTATTATTACCAATTAGGAATAATTTGAGAATGATCTTTTTAGTTAAGATTTGAAGATATAACAGTTCCAAGTAATGCTGAAATAGCAATGATACCAGAAACTGAAGAAATTCCAGTTCCTACCGCAGACTACTCCATCGAATCATCGCCAAATTTGGAATCAATTAATGTAGATTTACAACAGGTTAAAAGAAAATTTAAGAAAAAAAGAATGTTCGCTGACAAAATTACAAAACTCAGTCACAAAGTAATACGAAAGTGTATCAATAATGTCAATGCTCATACGGTTGTAAGTTTAATCAGATTTTGTACAAGAATGAATTTAATTGATATTCTAGAATTGAACCACTTATAAAAGTGGTGTAAATCCATTTTTGGAAAACATAATTCTGATGCTTTATTTAATATTAATGAAAATGATGTTTTCTTAATTTGTTTTAAAAATGGACATATACCACTTCATAATAAATGATCCAATTAATATGAACATTAATTATGTTCTATTATATTTTAGTCATTGAAAGTTATCGATGTAAATATAACAACATCAGAAATTCTTTTCCAAGAAGCACCAGCAAGGTTTATTTCCACTCGCAAAAACAAATGGAACAGTCCTTTAAATAAACTTTTTAACATGGATATTATTCTATCGTCTACTGAAAAAGAATTGCATATGGAATCTGAACACTCTTTAGAAAAATGTATTACTTATATATAAAAAAAAAAGTTATTATTATTTCTAGATATTTGTACTATGATTGTAACATCAATATAAATTTTTAGCTACTGAATTTCTACGTTTAATGGATAAAAGTAATAAAACCGAAGAACTTCCCTCTGATTTGTCATCTGCAATTGGAAGATCCATTGAAATAAGCAAAAATATAAGTTCAGAGAAAAGCATTGCCATTAGTATAAATGAGCTTCCAAAAGTAATTAAATTTCATGATGCAATAGAATTAAGTAACTCTGAACCAGAAAAATTTCAATCTCCAGAAATCACAGAAAAGTTATTTATACCAGATGCAAGGTAACATACATATACTAAATTTTTTTATATAAAATAATAATATTATAAAATAATGTTATAGAACACAAAATACAGAAATAATAATTGTTTATGTATTTTATAGCACAGATTTATCATCATTTCCATCTTGTTACTTAACGAGACAAGAATTATTAGCATTATTGGAAATAATTTGGCAGAACAATGAACTTGCAACATTTACCGATTTAATTTCACCAGATCATTACAGTAAATTAGACGCTTCCTTTTGTTTCACATTTCTTTTGGGTGAGTATTTTGAACATTTATTTGTAAATTTATAGAATTATCATCAATACATATATTCTTATTTATAGGATATTTGTAAACATGTAGGCATAACTTCAGGGTTAGTTTATGAAACATTAAAATAAGAAAAAAAAAAGTTCAAATTTAAACAATTGTTGATATTTTTATAGTCTGTATTTAAGTTGAAGATGATCATTTCAATTCTATAAAAATTATGTAACAACCTTTAAAATATACAAAGAAACTGTAATTTCGAAACAAGGTGTCATATTGGATCTATGATAATATGAATTTCTTCTCTTATTTTAATATACTGAAACCACCCCTGAAGTTATATATGCACAAATATTTTCAACTATTTTATATATTAAAAACATTTCTAAGCATAAAAATTATTTTTAGAATTACATAAAGAAAAAAGAATTATATTAAAACAGGCTGCACCTTACGATATCATTTGGATAAAAAAATACATATAATTTGTGTAATAGTCATTCTTTTATTCTATTATTACGTATTTATTATGTAATATCATTTATTTTAAAAGCAAACATATTTACATATTTGAAATAATTTTTTATAGAACAGAATTATTCGTAATTATTATAATAATAGCATGATTGTATTTTTTAATTTTTAAGTTGCATTAATACGTATTATGTAATATATTAATATAATTATATCAAATATAAAATATTTAAATAAACAAAAATTTCATATATTATTAAAATATTAAGTATTGCAGCGTAATGAAGTTGACTACGAAGAATGTTATATAGATAATTACCGGCAAACATTTCGATATATCGATTAATTTGTGATTATCGAAATAATTTCGAATGAACAAATTTGTATATTAATTATTTAAAAAGTAAAAAGAAAGTATTGAATTAATGTAATTATATACAGTATAAAAATTAATTATATTTAATAAGTAAATATAATAGAATATATTTGTTTATTTAATTTAAGATAATATATTTAAGAAAGAGAGAGAGATATTTATTGAAGGTAATATAATTTAAATTATTGAATAATTTTTATCGAGAATAAAATCCGTTAATTCGAAAACCTGCATTTTTTGGTTTCATTTAATATTTAAATATAAGTAAAATATATTAACAACTTTTTTATATAAATTATTGATTTATTAATTTTCTATATACATAAAACTCGAAATATTTTTAGTTATAATAAATACTTAAAAAATATGATCAACAAAATCGATAATTTATATTTGAAAAATAATACAAATTACAAATCAAATAATATTTACACTTAAGAAAAAAAAGTTAACATATCTTATTTAACAAATATTTTCGTTTATTTCTTTTCAAACAAATTTTAAGTACTTTAAACAAAAAATAATTGTCTAGAAATGATCAAAAATGATGTCTTATAACTATTGTAAAAAAAAAAAGAAATGAAAAGAATAAAGGATAGGTTTAAAAGAGTTTACTTATTCATTAATTTTTTTTTTTATTTGTTTTAGATGTCTAATCTAAATGACGTTTTTCATTCTTATTTAAGAACGAAAACAGGAAAATATTCAAAATGTTGGTTAGCTGCTACACTCAGTACAAAAAAGTTTCAACAAAAGTTTAGATCGCAAACTGTTAATGAAATTAATGTTTCTGAAATATGGTCAGTATAATTAAAGATATCATTTTTTTTTTTCTTTAATTTATAAATATTAATAAAAAAAATGTATTTATTTTCAAAAGTGATGATATAAAAAATATGAATATAACGATGAATATTCGACGATCTAATAAAGAGATTCTTTATACGTCATTCCAACTGATGTATGGTGCTACAAAAATACATTCATATCAAGTTTCTAATTTAGAAAGTAAGTTCATATTTACTTCATATTTACTAGTTCATAAATACTATGAAAAAATAGTTTTCTATTGTAAAATGGAAAGATACGTTTTATATTATCCAAAAATGTTATAAGATAAAATAAAAAATTAGATTTATTTCAAGGAACTATATAAAAAACAATAATGAACGTTTAATCTTTATTATTTTAGAAGATATAATTGAACTGGAAAAAATGCTTAACAAGGCTTCTGATAAAAGGTATACAATGATTTGTTTCTTTTTTCTTTATATTTCAAAAAGAGAGAATTTAATTTTAATATAAATTATAATTATTTTTATAAACAGAGATAATGAGAACGACAAACATGACTCCTTAAACGTACTTACACCATATAGCGAACAATTGCATGAAAATTTTAAATTATTACCTCATGAACTGGATATTAATACTAAACTTCAAAATTTGGTATATATATGACTATGATATAAAAATTATTAAAATAACATTTTATTTTCAAATAGAAAAAATGTTTCAACATTATATGAAAACATTATTTTATTGTTTTCTGTAAAAATCATAATATAAATATTTGAATGTAACATACTAGTCGAGAAAATCTAATGCATAATTATATATATATACTTTATACAGATGCATGAAGCTGAATGTTTAGAATTTGGTGCTTTAACGGAACAAGAACTCAATTTTCTAAATCGACCCAATGAAGAAATTTCAACGTTAGTATTTCTATTTCTTATTCGAATATTTTTATTTATGAAAAATATTGAAAGAGAATTATTCTTTTTCTTATAATACAGAGAAATGTTTGAAAGAATACACATCACTGATGTAAATGATAAATCTCTTTACTACGCAAATACTTTGCGAGAGTCTGAAGAATTTTATATACCATATGAAAAAGCTGAAAAAGAAATGATATTACAAGTACGCGATGAATTAATTATGGATGGTATGAAACAACATTTATTCAATATCACCGACAAATGATTGTGTAATAATTATAATAATTACAAATCTTGCTATGTACTTAATGTATATTTATGTTTATGTTTAGGTGAAGAATACTATGAAACATTGTCGAAAATGCCATTACCAGAAATAACTGCTAATGAATTTGTACCAGAAGAAGGTACTCATTCGATAACTCGAAAGAGGCAGCCTACTGTACAAGAACAAATAGAAACTCCAACTAAAAAAAGACGTGTATGATTTTATCACAAAATTTACACTATTATTATTAACAATGAAAAATAATGAGTCAATTATTATTTAAGTTAAAGTTCGAAGATATAATATTTCCAAGTAATGTTGAAATTACATTACCAGAGGTCGATGCAGTTCCTGTTGCTTTAGAACGTATTACAGAAACTTTAGAAGATTTAGAATCAATTTCTGACATTTCCCAACAGAGTAAAAGTAAATCTAAAAAAGTAAGAGTATTTGCTGACAAAAATACTCAACTCAGTCATAAAGTAATACGAAAGTGTATCAATAATGTCAGAGTTAGTACCGTTGTAAGTTCAATTAAATTTAATACATAAATGAATTTAAACTATATTTAATGCATACATTAAATGTGTTCTATTATTTTTTAGCCATTGAAAATTTTCGATGTAAATACGTTAACATTAGAACTTCTTTTTCAAGAAGTACCAGCAAGATTTCTTTCCATTCGCAAAAACAAATGGAACAGTCCTTTAAATAACCTTTTTTACACGCATAATCTTATACCACCTACTAGAGTAGATACGCTTATGGAATATGAGTTAGAAAAACGTATTTATTATATTAAAAATTAACTTTATTTTTTATTTATTATTTTACTTTTGATGTTAACGTCATGTGTACATTTTTAGCAACTTTTGAAACTATGCGTTTGGAAACAAAAGATAACAAAACTCAAGAATTGTCTGAATTATCCGGATTAATTCCAGAAACCAAAAAATCTATGAAAGAAACTATTGCTGATGAAATAAAGACTTCACAGCTGGAAATTGCAATATCAGAAATTAACCATCAAACCAATATACAGAATATAGAACAAGATTTTGAAATGTTAAATATTGTAGAATATGATGTTCCTGACGTTACAATGCATGAGAAAGGAATCGATCAACCGTAAGCTTTGTATATTATAAGTATAAAATGTATTTTTATTTTTAGTATAAAAATAGCAAACATCATATACAGGGTGTCCCAGGTTTGACTGACCATACTGCAATAGCATATTCTACAAGTGGAAATAAGAAAAAAATGTTACTTGAAATTCGATTAAATATGTTGTATAAGATATTCTTCGTATTCCACTTGTTCATTCTACTTATAGAAAGAATATGTTCCTATAGTTTGGCTAGTAAAAGCCGGGATTTCCTATAAATGATTAATTTATAATTAATTGATGAATATTCTAAATTATATTTGTACATAATTATTTCTTTTCTTTTTTTTAGTTTGGAAACTTCGAAATATAAAGACTCACATTTGACAAAAACTGAGTTACTTGCATTATTAGAAGTTCTCTGGCATGACTCTGAAATGGTTAAATTCACTGATCTTATTTCTCCTGAATCTTACAACAAATTTGATGCTTCACGTAGTTTTCTTCTACTTTTAGGTAAGTTTTTTTTAATAAAATGTGAAAAGTATTTATATAAAAAAAAAATTCTTCTTTAAGAATTACATCAAGAAAACAAGATTATTTTGGAACAAGCCACTCCTTATGATATACTTTGGATTAAAAAATGTTATAACAATGACTCAGATTAGGAAATATAATGTATTATATTTAAAGGTAAGCTACCTTTCCTTCAAACTTTCTATTTAATATTATACAGGTTCTTTACATAATTAAAAATAGATACAAATAAATATACGAATTATTTATATTTAAGACGAAAACAAAAGATTTTCCATTCTTTTGGGTAAGAAAGAGTTATAAACAAAACAGAAACTTTTTATTTTTCTAACGAAATATTTGTTCTTTCTGCACAATTTGATAATAGCGGACAAAAATCATTGTAAATTGTATTTATATTTTGTTTTATCATTATTATTAATCCTCTTATTATTATTTATATACATTGTAATATATAAATAATATATTTATAATTATAGTTGTGCTTTAACAAATACTCTTTAAGCATGTGTTAATTAAATTAGCTGCTGATATAGATATACAGTTAATAAGAATACAAAAGTATATATTAAATTATTTTTTAAATATTTATGTACGTAGTATTAATAACGCAGTATTACAACATTAAAAGCATATTTAGTAGTTATACTTATGTATCGGAAAGTTTGAATAGTACACATAGTCATCTGATATAAATCTACTTAGTTTTATATTGTGAATTCTATTATATTGCAAAAAGGCACACCATATTTAGGTTCTTCGTTGGTTTTTTAATCATTTTACAAACATATCAAATAGTTGAATATTCAATGCAAAAATTCTACCAAACAATTTTCTGATTTTAAAAATGTAAATATATTTTAAATTGAAATGAAATTGACTCAAAACTATATTTGCAAAAAGAAAAATACTTTATGTAATAAAAATATGTTACAAATATAAAAACATATATAATATAGAAACGAGTAAATTATAATAGATAATAATAGCTGTTAGTTACACCGACGTTTTAACTCTTGTGTGTATCGGAGATGCGATTAGTATTATTTTAAATATCTACATGTATCTGACAATGTAACTAACATTTGATATTAATACCATTAAAATACAGAATATTAAGTCCAATTTTATCAGTAATATCTGTTTCATTGTAATTGCATAGATATATATAACATTTCTATTACACAAAGTAAATATATATTATTCTCTTAAGCGTGCCAACCGTTGTGTAAGTTCATCTTGTTCTTGAGTTACAGATACATTACTTGAAATACTTCCTTCTTGTCCCGGTGGAAGTTCCATATTTAATTCAAGTCTAAATGATAAATAAATATTAATTAAATAGAAAGAAAAATAAAAAAAAAATAAATACAATTAACAAACAATAAAATAAAACGTACCCAGCTTCGTCAGCAACTTGTTGCATCAACGAATCAACATCATTCTGTGGTACATTAGTTGTTGTTGTTTGGGACATAGCATTTTCCATATAAGAACTTTGTACATCCAAGTCTTCAAATTGACTTTCAAACTTATCCATAAGACCAGATATTTTTTCTAAATTCATTGACTTCATAGCGGCATCCATTGCTTTGACCACACCAGCCATAGATTGCGTTACTTTTCTTGTTGTTAATGCTGTTTGTACTCTACTTGCAACTGCATCGACTCTAGCACTCATACGCAGATAATTGAGAGCTTGATTTTTTTGCCTAATCGCATTCTCTGCGTGTATTCTTGCACCTTCCATATTTCCCTTTTGAATTGCCTTCTTTATCTTGGCTTTTTCTATTTTTTCTTCTTTCTCGCATTTTTTCGAATTTCTTTCTAATTCTTTTACAGCGAACTTTAAATTGAATAAATTCTCTATTTTCCATTATGTAAGGAATTATTCATTAAATATCCAAAAATATTTAATATATAAATTAAAATATTGAAATTTATATACAATAATAGAACAATGTTAATAGTAAACAAATATTTTATTAAACTATAAATTCGATTAAAATAACAAGTTTATTTATACACAAAAGTAAAACAATTTTCTATTGTAATTTTTTGATTATTTCAATAACAGTTGACTGTCAGATAATTTAAACACATAAATCAAACATTAAATATATTTATCAATATAAAATATAAATAATAATTATTAATTTGATAAATAATAATAAAAAGGATACTCTCCATCTGAGAGACGGACATGGCTGACTGTTCGATCCCCGTTGTGACGGATAATTTGCAACCTCTCAAGTTAAAAATTAATCTCTTAATTAATTTAACGCTAGAATGACACGTGATATATATATATTAATAACATAAAATAACAATATAATTTTCTAACAACAAGATAAACAAGAAGTTTGATTACAGTGTGATAATACAAAACTGTCAAAATCACACGTCATTAAATGTTTCATTAAAATCATGCATAGATACGAATTCTGAAAATGAGTTATATATATATGTGTTTATAATGACCAATGACATATATTTAAAAGTCAGTCCTATGTTAAATATTACTCACCACTAATTTGTCACTCATGTCATAATCTGTGAAATATTCTATATACCAAAGATAGATCATACATAAGATGCACAACCTACTAGTAATTTTATACACATACAAATTATAACCAATAAATAATAGCTATGATCTCACAGATTTCATGTAAATTCTTTAAATTATTGTGGATTGTAATACAACAGCACAAGTTAATTTTTGTCCAATTAATTAAAAATAATCATTATATACAAGACGTTACATACAGGATACCAGTTTCTATTGGTTGACATAGAAAATTTGTTTTTTGAATCCATTTAAATGAAATTGACAGTTTAGAAATGTTGATTGAAAGTAGATAATAAATATACTATTTAAATGAATATGTAACAATGGAAGAATAACATAAATAAGAATGAATATTTGTAGTTATATACATGTATATTAATTTCCTACGAATTTATATAGTTTAAGGTTTAGATTTGTGGTTACCTACTGATGGTAAGTTAGAAACAATTTTATATATAGATATATACTATATACTAGGGATCCTGTAGGAGGGATACGCCATTCATATTCAGCTCATGTGCCATTGGCCGAAAATTTTGGGGGACCGCTTGAATTTATAATAATTTTTTCRTGTAACCTATTCTATTTTAATATAAATTTTTAATTATCATTAAATATAGTTCATTTTTTTCTGTATTTGATGCAATTCATTATTTCATAATTATTTCAATGTTTGAATCATTCGCGCGCAAAATCGAGTTCCGGTCCCCCAGCAATGTACATAGCGCATCCCTCCTATAGGATCCCTACTATATACTAAATATAAACAGTTATTATATATTGCGAAATAGTTTTTCAAACGAACAAAAGAAATTTAATTAGAATCAGTTAATGTCAGTTAAAAATTCAAGAGAAGTAAGAAATCCCATTCCATTTTGAATATCATTACAGATTTATGTAATTTATTCACATTTATTTGCTGATTCATTATTAAATTTTTCATTAAATACTGGTAAAACGAATTTATTAGATTTAATATATAAATATTATATGTTAAGAGTTCGTATAAATTTATTTGATTCTCTGTATTATCGTTGTACTATCATTTTAACAATCTTTAAGTATTTTTCTAGTTAATTACATTGTACTTGTTAATTAAATTAACATGTGTACTGCAAAAGTCTACACTAAGGTATTTATTTTTATTATATATATATATATATATATATATATATATATTTATCATGTAATAAAGTAATTAGTTCAATATCTTTCAATTAATATATTAACTTTTATTTGCTTTCCTCTTTTTTTTCAGAAACATGTGGAACCTACGTTCATGAAAAAACTTAACAACTTCATTCTAAGTTTGTTAAAATGCCTTTTCATTGAATTCCACAGTTTATTCGATTATGTAGTAACTTTTATATTTGAATTATGTTACGGGAGACATGTAAGTAAAATACCACCTGTTACGAATCCTCTACTGCTGGAAAGTGCATCTAAATTAGCGGAGAAGATTAGGTAAATTTTCCATCCAATTTTTTTTTTAGTTCAACATGTAATTTATTCCAAAATTATATACAGCAAATCGTTGGAGTATTCGTACTCACACCTCTGCTGTAAACTGTAGATAATTGATAACTGTAGATAACTTTTCTATATGAAAAACTAAGATCAAAAACTTTTCAAACGATTAGGCAACTTTGCAAAACTAATTTTCTTATTATTTATGTCAAATTATACTTCTCTTACAACAAGAACTACTCTTTTGCCATTAAATTAATATAAATAGTGTAGAAGAGAATATAAAAATATTACATTACGAGTAGATATTAATTGTCTCAAATTGGCGGCTGAAGTATAAATACTTATGTTACTTGGTGTACACATATATTTTCATTTTTGTTAATAAACTTTTATATTTCATTTAATAATTGTTCTTTTTTTCTGTTTATTTAGATCAAAAGAGATAAAGGCTGAAGTAGTCGTAAAAGCTTTTATTGAAAGATGTAAAGAAGTTGACAAATACATCCATGCAATAGTAGAAGATAGATTTAAAGAAGCAATAGAAGATGCTAAACAAATTGATTTTGAATTAGATGCCTATAAAAATATGGATGATTTGATACAACAAAAACCATTTTTAGGTGTTCCATATACAACTAAAGAAAGTATCAAAGCGGAAGGTAAGTAGATTAAAAATATATTAAGACTTTAATTAAATATTACCTACCCTAGTAGCACAAAATATTGAAAAATATTGAATACATGTATATTTAATATTAAAAAGAGATTTAATGTCTTTTCAATATTTTTCAATATTTTGTGCTACTAAAGTAGTTACCAACGAATCTTTGTTTATATATATATTTTGTTTTCTTTATAGGTTTATTGCACACTATGGGGATGCTTAATCGTAAAAATCATCGTTCAAATGCAGATGCAACAGTCGTTCATAATATGAGGAGAGCTGGTGGTATACTTATTGCTAAAACAAACGTTCCAGAACTTAATCAATGGGTTGAAACGAGAAACATCCTGTATGGTCAGACATGTAATCCTTACAATACAACCAGAACAGTTGGTGGAAGTAGCGGTGGTGAAGGTGCTATTATTGCGTCTTGTGGTTCAGCTATATCAATTGGAAGCGATATAGGCGGATCTACCAGACTTCCAGCATTTTACAACGGAGTATTTGGACTGAAACCTAGTGAAGGTAACAATTGATTGTATTTACTAATATATACAGAAAACTTTTTTTTACACAGTAAATGTACACACATACATTTCTCAAAATATTTATTTAATTCAAAGAAACGTATAATATTTTATATACGTTCTTTTTTTGGACCAGATTATTTCAAAATATATTTTAATATTTTTTATTGATATAGGAGTGACATCTTTGAAAGGAGTTGGATTAAGAAATGAATATTATCCTGAATCAATGGCAGAAGTAGGTCCAATTTGTAAATTTGCTGAAGACTTAACACCGATGTTAAAAGTTTTGGTAGGTGAAAAAATATCAATGTTAAAACTAGATGATCCAGTGGATGTAACAAAATTGAGAATATTTTATCAAAAAAGTTCTGGAGATATTAGAACCAGTAGAGTGTGTTCTTCGATGCGTTCTGCATTTGATAGGACAGTAAAACATTTTGAAGAAATAACTAAGAGTCCTGCTACTAAGGTATTTATTTTCTTTAGTAAATTATTTGATAAACCTATATCTATTTACAGTTTTATACAAATAAATACTTTTTTATCCTAACGTAGATCAAAATACCTGGTTCGGAATACAGTTTTAGATTATGGAGATATTGGATGACTCAAGAAAAAGCTGATTTTAAGATAGATTTAACTAATGGAAAAGTAATAATATAGTTTGTGAAAATAATGAATATTTTAAATATCATATCATTCATATAATTAATTTCTTACAGTCCCGTGCAGATGCAGTAGAAGAAATTAAAAAATTACTGTTTAATAAATCCGATATAACATTTCCCGCATTACTTAAATTAATAGATGCAGATTTGCTTCCAAAAGAAAATCCTGAATGGGCTAGAAATCTTACTGTCGAGATAAGACAATATTTATTGGTACGTAATACCATTTTTATTAGAATATGTAAATATACAATTTTTATATTTAATTGTAATGATTATAATATTGATGTAATGATTAAAACCTTGTCTTATTTTTTTTTAACAGGATATTTTAGGAAGAAATGGAGTCTTAATTTATCCTTCTGCACCATTTCCTGCTGTTCATCATTATTCTTCATTTTTGAGACCATATAATTTTTCTTATTTTGCTCTCTTCAATGTTCTCAAATTTCCAGCAATACAAATTCCACTTGGATTAGACTACGATGGTTTGCCTTTGGGTATTCAGGTATGTTAAAGTTGTTAAAAAGTAAAAATTAATACAAATTTACTTAATAAATTTTTGAATTATATGGTTTAGGTAATTGCAGCTCCATACCATGATCATTTATGTATCGCTGTAGCAAAAGAATTAGAAACTGCATTCGGTGGTTGGGTGCAACCACCCCCTTAAGTGTTTACATTAATATTTTATTATCTTCTTTTTTTTTTGTATAAGTATTTACAATTCTTATTGGGTTTAATTTTCTTTATATTGATCTATTCTAGGGATATTATTTAATATATATGGGAAAGCTGTTTATTAGTTTACAAGCTAATATTTATTTATTTTTAATGAAGTTGTTTAGTTATTACTATCTTTATTTTTTTTTTTTTTTCATTTTTATATGTCATGATATTATACTAAAAATACGAACAAATAATAAGAGAGAGAACAAATATAAGTTCAATAATGCGCATACAGTTCGATACTTCACGAAATTAATAATTATAATTATTATTATTATTATTAAAATATTTCTATTAATAATTATTGTTGAAATTTCTATTTTATTACACATTTTATAAGTTACGAAATTAAAAAATTAAGTTATGGAAATTATTTGTAATTTAATAATAATACTTAAAAATACAATATATATCGACGAGATTAAATTTATGACAAATACAAAACAGAAAATATGTACGGTGGTTATAAAATATCTAATAAAATTGTAACTACACGTGTATCGTATTTATATTGTTAAAAATTACATTAAAAACAAAAAAGAACATTTGCTATAACATATTGTTTAACATGAAAATAAATTATAAGAGTATTTGTATACACATATATAAATAAAAGTAATTATAACTCATGAAATACGATTTAATTTTAAGAACTTTTGTAAGTTCAACTGCTCGCCGTTAGAGCGCGCGACAATTGAGAAAGTGCTAAAAAGTGCGGAATCATTTAAAATAAGACTAATTGTAAGAAGTTAAAAATATTTCCATGTACAGATGCGTTCAAGTACGCACAAAATAAAAATAATAAGAAGAAACATGAACAAAATAATATATTACATTAATACTAAGAATAGGTGTATATGCACATTGATAGTTTTAATAATAGATTAAATTTTAAAAAGTTGAATTCATGATGTATAATTATAAAATAAATAGAAAAAATAAATTCATATTATAAAAATTACTAGCACGCATGTATACACATTCATATAATCATATACATGAGTGATTTGAAAATTCATGAGTTTTTTACCATAGAAACAATTTTATTTCGATCAAACTAATTTTTACTTAAAAAATAAGAAAATAAAAGATTTGTTGTCGAAGTAAAAGATTTGTCGACTCACCCACTGTGATCAAATATATCTTACATAAATACATTAATTAAGAACAAAAAGAAAAGAAAAAGTATACATAAACAACATAGGTTTAACTAGGTGTTAAGAAATTATAAAAGTATATTGTGAAAATTAGAAAAGTAAGAACATTCTTCTTTCTTTCTCTCACTCTGAGCAGCAGAATGTGCGCCCCGAGTTAGTGGTAAAGATGAGCAGCGCGTTTATGGTGCGTATAGGAGAGTACGATTGTGAGGAAGAGAGGTGAGAGAGAATGAGGAGGAGGAAGGTGGTGGGTGAAGGGGGTTGGAGGTGGAGGAGGGTGGATGAAGAGGACAGACGTAGGGAGGGCGTCAGTCGTTCCCGCGGTAACGGGAGTGAATCGCGTCTCGACTCGGACAGATCATGTAGTTGGAATCAAGACACGGTGTGTACGTGTGTAATACGCGACTCACGTCCTCTACGCTTCTTACATCTCTTTATTTTTTTTCTCTTTCTTTCTCTTTTTTTTGTATCTCTCTTTCCTGTCACTCAATCCTCTCTCTCTCTCTCTCTCTCTATCTATCTATCTTTCTTTCTCTTTCTGTCGGTATTACAATCAGCGAATGCGACGAATGACGTCGGAGAGGTATCAAAGAAGGAGGAGGAGATGGGCGAGGCTCGTTCACGTATTCGGCTCGATCGTAGAAATCTCGAAAGCTTGCACCAACAGCAACAGCAGCAATCGTTTGCTGATGGTGGTGGTGGAAAGACAACGACGACAACGACAACGACAACAACAACAACGATGATGACGAGCCTCGTTCAATCCTCCACCGTTTTGAATATGGATGAATCCGGAGGGGAGAATATGCCAGAGGCTGAACTCGATGATAGAAAGGGGAAGGGTAAATCGAAAAAAAGAATCGATAATTTTGTTGATGTCGGTAAGAAGGGAAAGGAATACACCTCCTATCTCAACGACGATTCCAACGAGAATGAGATGATGTTTCGAATCCTCGAAGATAGCTCTTTAACGGAATCCCTTTCGGATATTACTGGTATACGTTCTGCTGATCCAGTGGAGGGAGAGAAGAACCCTCGTTCTACCAAAGACCTTCTTACATGTCCTTATGTAAACGAGGAGAAGGGGGATAAAGAGGAGGAAACGACGACGATGATGTTGCTTCCGGGAGTGAGCAAAGATTTCATTTCCATTTCTGACGATATTCATTATGATGTTAAGGTAAGTTTCTTTTTTTGGTTTGTTATTCTTGTTTTATTCAATTGCATTATGTTTTTATGTTCAATTTATACAGGATTAAGCTGAATAATATTTACAAATGTGGGCACAGAGAATTGCTTCAAGATTCTTTATGGAAGAATAAGATAAAAAAAAAATATATATATAGAATAGAATTTTGTTTTTGTGCAAGAGAGACTTTATTTTTAAACAAATTTAAAAAAGAAACTTTTACGTTATTCGGTTGGATGCTGTATATGGTGCCGGTAATTATGCCAATGGAATTAAAAAAATTGAATTTATGATTTCTTTTTATGTTATAATAATATAAAATAAATCATAAAATTAATTTTTGTTTGAATTCCCTGTTATAATTATCAGAATATATGTGGGACATTTTGTATATATGTACATATATATTATATATACCTCAACCTAAATGGAGACAAGATCCGTGTCACGGATCTGAATTTGGTACAAGTCATAATCAGATTATTCGATCGCTTGTAATCTTATTTTTCATTTCAATCATTCCTATTTAATCATATTTAATAAACCACACTCAATTATTATTAAATATAAATATGACAGCTACCTTGAAATGACTTCATACACAATTTAACATTTTATATATTTTTATACTTCAAAGAAGGACACTTGTTAAAGATTAAATTCTGTATTACTATTTTTTGTGCTATTTTATAAAGCCATTTCCAAAATATATATGTATATAAAATACTTGTATGTATCCCATATGTATAAATATTATTTCTTACAATCAGATACAAGAATGAAATTAAATATAAAAATACGTGTTTTATTAAACACAACAAATAATTATCAACATTAATATATTGATAGAACAAAATTATTGCATAAAATTAATTGAAATAATAATAATAATACCAAAGTTATATGAGATTTAAATTTCTCAGGAATAATAGACAGAATGAATCATAGAATAGTAAAGATTCTTAGAAATAATTATAAAAATAAGAAATATTTATAGAAGAAGAATCACAAAGTTGAAATCTTAATGGCACGTGCTACGAGCACGTGCTACCGGTTACTGCTCTTAAATCCAACCAATTAGGACGGGAATTAGGTGTAGGTGGTGGGGGATAAAAGGTCCGACGCCAAGCAGTCTCCTCGTTACATCGATTGTAGATCATTGTCCTCTGTTTACTCTTGTTAACATGTACAATACATAAGTATAGTTCTTATACATAATCTAAAAAAAAAAAAAAAAAATTAATTTCACATAGTTTCATAATTTTGGGGAATAGAAAAAGAGAAATTGATTGACAATTTTATTTCGTTTAATTTATTAGAAAATATTTTTGTATAATCTTGAGATATTTCCTGTTATATTCATTCCAACTAGAAATTATTACATTCCTAGAAATTGTGTTTACTTTAACGTTGCGGGAAGTTAGATAAGAGAAAAAGAAAAATAGCTACTGTTATTGATTTGCAGTATGAGATTTCGAATCGAACATTATTTTTTTTTTTTCAAATTGAACAGTAATATGATTAGAAAATTGACGTGTATTGCATAGTAATCAATGTTTTGAATTTTCTCGTATTTTATCTGCTCACCGTCAATTTATTAGATGAGCTAATGTTAGAGTTCCTATTACCGTTCACCGTGTACGGAAAGAGAATGGTTTAACAGGCTACTAAAGAATGTTTGTCGCGATCTGTCACGAAATCTGTTTCTTAGATCGGTGATCCTTGAAAAGTACTGTGATATCAGGTGTTAAATTCTTTCAATTGTGTTCTAACAAAATATAGAATAATTGGAAACGTTTTCATTTATTTATACTTCAAATTTTAAATTGGAATTTTTATTTATTTCTTTAAAGTATAATCGTTCATTGTACTGTATACTGTTACGAGTTAATTTGTTCATTTCTTCTTTGCGTGCTCTAATTTTTCGTGGTTTATAAAAAGAAAATGATAGTTAATATAAAAAAGTTATCTAGTTTTGAAATCATCTATCAGGTAAATACGAAGATACTTTTTCCCCAACCAAATATAATTGATTTAAGAATTGAAAACCTCTTAATCTCATAAACAAAAATTCATTTACCGTATTAGTTTAAAGAAAATAAATGCAAGAAGGTTAAATGGGATTTAAAGTTTAATCAAAATCGAATTAATTCGTTATTATGAACCTTTTAACATCTGACGTAAGTGTTTTCGAAATGTAAACCATATAGAGAAAGGTAGAGCGATGTAATTCACAGGAATAAATCGATCGAGATCGTGATCGCCACTAAACGATATACGACAGTACCTTTTGGTAGCTGACGTCATTTTATCTTGATCACATGCATACATATATGTATGCGCAGAATTCTTTTGTAATAGTTCGAAAAAATTTTATCTTAATGCTGTAAGGATCACTATCGATCACGTGAATACATATATATATATATAAATATAAATACATACATTTATAAATATATACATTTCGCATAGGGATTGGAATGTAGACATTTTCAAACACTATACTTTTTTTATCTATATTTATTCCTAAAAGTATTGGATTGTCCCAAAAAATTCGTGACGATTAAAGTTAACGTTTAATACGTTTTTTTTTTTTTTTTCTAAAAAAACTTTTCAGACAAAATTTGCGTTAGGATCACGTCAGGGTTGTCTCTGTAATGTTTTTACCTATTTTGAAAAAAAGAAATCTTAAAAATGCAAATTTATTTAAAGAATATTAATTCGAATAGGTATATTCGTACAAATCCTTTACAAACATATAAATGTTCAAGCAAATATTTAATCGTACAAAATAATCTCTGCAAAGTAATTTATTTTATTTTATTTTTGTTGTTTTTTCAAATATATTCGAACACGGAAGTAAGAAATTTATCTGTTAAATCTATGAATGAAAAATGAACAATATTAAAACCCGAATAGAATTTGAAAATTTAATCGGTGTTTCAATCATTCATGATCGAAATAATCCCACTTGTGTGTTATGTTTATATTCATAAAGGTTTAGTGGTCCTCGGGAATTTGAAAGTGTATAAGCTAGAGGAACTCTTCGAAGGCCGACTTCTTTCCAACCATTGTGGAACACACAACCTACGCACTTCTCTGAACAAGTTCTCATTCAGTTTTACCAATGGCAGTGACTTATTGTTATTCAAATACTACGATATCACTGCTATCGGAACGATTAAAATTCTCTAGACAGATAAATAGATATAATTACTTACGTGTATTATATTTATGTAGATCTATCAAGTGTAACGTTGGATTAAAACAAATTAATCCATTAACCTATTTAAATAGAAATGTGGTCACAATACAATTTACGATCGGTGAATGTGGATATAATATATAAGGCATTTAATAAAAATCATACAAAGTAGAAAGGGCAGATCAAAACAAGCAACATTATTGGATGCATTAATGAATCTGGAAAACTGTCTAATATATTTCAACAATTTATATACAAGATGTGAGACTCACTTTGATAATATATAGATTTTTGTTAAAGAATACCAAAATAATGAAAACAAGTTTGTGCAAACGTATGTCCTATTTGACCATGTTTCCAAGTTTTATTAGCTACTTTTATGTTTTTACTGTTTTAACGTTAGACTGTTTTTCCTGTTATAGCCATTTTTACGACACAATTTAGGTAGACACTTCTCAAAGAAATCACCATAGCTAGCTGTCTTAAATATCAAATGGTAATTACATTCTCAACATTACGACTATACTTGTCAATTACAACTAACCGTTTTAACATAAGTATAAAGAAAATAGTCATCTTGGAATAAACTTTATGGGGTAATACAATTTATTAATAAATTCAATTATATTTGTATACTACTATTGGTCATATTCGAAGAATTTTTGATTCAATTTTGAGAAACCAATTGTATGCTGTCTTTGAATTTGAAAATTATTTCTAGTAAATAATTATTAGTTTTTTTTTAACTTTTACTGGTATATGTTTAATTGTCTTTGTTATCGAATCGTTAGAGGGTGGACGATCGAATAGAGGTCACGCGTGGGTTAACGCAACGCATCTTCGAGAGTTGAGTTTCTTCTGGTTGCATCCGGGATCACGCGCGCGTCAAACAGCACGCGGTTTTCTCTCTCTTTCTATTTATATATTTGTATATATATACGTGTATGTGTGTGTGTATTAACTTCGTGAACGAAACGCATATTTTAAGATTATTATGTATGTGCAAATGCGTATGTAAAATATGCATGAGCACATAAGTGGAATGTGGGATTTATTTAATTAAAAATTCTTCGACGCGTATTTAATAATTTTTTTTTATCTATATTATATACAAAGATTATTATTTTGATTATTATCATATATTAGTGAATATATTAAATTTAATCTTTTGCATAAAATTTTCGTATAAATTTTACGTCGATGTCAATTTGTTTGAATAATTTATTCCGATCGATGTTTTACATATTTATTTTTATTTTATATAATTTGTCTTTTTACGAAATAATGACAGTATTTCGTAATATTATTTTTTTTTATTATGATATTTATTTGCTATTGAGTTATAGTAAAATATGTGGTTTTTAAAAAAAAATGTATATATAACTCAGAAACACAAATTGTATTATTATATAATATTTGATATAAATTATAAATAATACAACCATTCCTATGATATTTGTATGGATTTTAAAGTTTATAAAATGAAATAGATTAATAAACATTGAATGGAAAAATAATAAGATAAAACGATTCGTGGTTGGTATGTCGTAGTTAGTATAGCATACTCGGCTTTCACCTTATAGGTGTAGCTTTCCATCGACAGGCTAATCCTATGCCATACGTCAACTTGAGAACTCGTCGAACATAGCTGTTTGTTATTACCGATTCTCGTTTCAGAAATTAACTACCTGCTGCTTACGTATTTGCTTCTGGCCAATAAACCATAAAACTATAAAAGGTTATTGACTTCTTTAACCTTCTCATTGATAATTAATAAAAACAACAT